CCCGACAGGCACTAAAAACGCCATAAAACTTTTATACCGAAGACAGTTGATATTGCAACATTATTTTATGAATATTAAGTTATATTACTCACACAACGTAAACGAGTGCAATTAATAAGAAATATTGCTGAGGGCCTCAATAACATGGCAGTACAACACTCATTAACTCTTCCATAGCGTTCTTCTCTATCCCAAATGCTTTATACTTAATACTGTTTGCTATTTTCTCTCAATTCCCCAATTAGCAACTAGCGCCTGTTCCTCAAATAGTCAACCTCTCATTTCTTAACATTTTGGAACAGATTATCTGGTTGCTTAGATGAATAATTAATTGACTACTAAAAATCAAAACTTCATCGAGCCCTTGATCTATACCTCAGGCGATATAAATATATACGGTAATAATTTATAACCATTATTAAAAGAGCTAAATAATTAAATATAAGGTCGTTAGAAATGAATTATTTGTTCTAACCCTTCCAGTCAAATGTTAATAATGTTCACATTTTAGATAAGGTAGCCGATATCATTTATATCATGAGAACTTTCGTATGCTTGCAGGTGCAAGCTTTGATAATGATAGACATTGAAAGGCATGTAATTAACTATGACATCAAGGGGTTAACTTTAATTTTACCTTAGAATTAAGGTATGTTTTAGGTATTTTTTAACATCAATTGATATTATTTTTACAGTGTTATTGAATTTAGAAAAAATGTATGTTTTGTAAACAATTCATTCCATAAAACTGGTTAAATACTTTCAGTGTGACTGACGATTAAAGTGCTGCTTTGCCAGTCCTTAACACTAAAAACTATAGTTTACCCCGAGATGAATTTTGTGTATTTATCTATGGCAAATTGCTAGCACGAACTAAAGGCGTTTGGGGAAAACCCCAAATTTGTATTAGAATTAAAAATAGACAAGTTTAATTTAGCTTAACAGTATTATATGTCGCAAGCATGTAAGGTCGCAATTTATAAACTAACAGGTAACATATACCTTGCTATCTAAACAAACAGAACGAGCTTGTCGATAAATAAATGGGATGTTTCAATGTAAATTTATAGCGGACAAAAATAAGTTATTCTGTGACAGTAAATTATAATCTATTAATATTATTTTAGCGTAAATATTATTGTAATAATCTGGTATTTTTGCCAACAACTCGGTTTCACCTACAATAGGCGTAGGTCAATATTTGTGACTAGACGGCGAAGATTTTCTGTAAATATTTTAACTAGTTCGAGTGAAGACGAAAAATTTATAGTACTTTACAACCCGAAAAAACCGTTATTACGTCCTTGTACCATTTCAAATTAGCCGATAATATTGGAACACTCAATTTGTGTCCAAACAAACTGCCACCGAGAAAACGCCTAATTGCCTCTATTAATGTTTATCTTTTACTATAAATAACCATTTTTTAGGTAGCTTTATTGATGATTTCAGTTAACAGCATCGATTCATTTCTAATTTAGTCTCCGAAAGTACGATGATCAAACGATAATTTGCAAAATCTACAAGCAAAGACAAACTCATCAATTATTTCTGAAAAATATTTAAATATGGAACTAAAGCAAATGTTTCTCAAAAACTCTCCTTTTTACTTATTTTCTTTTTTTCTAACGGTTCATGAAATATCGGCAATTTCAGTTTACCAAGTCGTATTAGTAGCTCAGGAAATAAACCGTTTTCATAATAGTAGAATGCAATTTTTATTAAATCGGCTCAATTTGACCATCGCCTTCGATACTGCACAATTTTATCCTCCGTCCTCACTCTCGTTTTCAATTGTAACCTTCGATATTGTTTTCCCACATGAAAAGTCCAACTGGTTCAGATCTGGAGATCGCGGTGGCCAAGCGATGGGCCCACCACTGTCCATCTATCGATTTCGGTAACTTCAATTGACATAATTAGTGATAACTCGACCAAAATGGGCTGACGCACCATCAAGTACAAAAAATATCCAACAAATGCTTCTGATTTGAATAGTCATTGAAGATTAGTCGTTTACTGCGAAAGATGCTGGAAATTTTGGAGAATCCCGTACAATTTTGGCAATGATGTGTCACAAATAAAAGGTTTTTGATTATCATTTTTATCCCAGTTGACATAATCGATTAGCTATTCTAATTACAAAATTGGTAAATTCTGCTGAGGCATCTGTTTAACTACGGAATTAAACGCGAATTGTTATCGCATCGGAAACAATTTACTAGCAACAATTTGTTAGTGCGTTATATTCAACAAACACATTAAGTATTAATTTTGTAGCTAATAATTCTGAGAATGGCTAAAAACCGAGAAATATTAACCGTTAGGCAGCACAGCAGTTTGACATTGCTATTGAAACAGTGACAATGTGATTCCATCAAAAGATTTAGCTCAGTCATCTTCTTGATTGGGACAGATTTAGTTGCCTCTGGTTCTCCGATGATAAGGCAAAACATTTTGATGAACTATAAAGGTACATAGAGAACAATTTAGACTACGGTTTTAATGTGATTTCAAATGGGCTTTTGGGACCTGGGGATAACACTTTGTTGATTGATGATTCTGATCATTATTTTTCGTCATTTTATGAGCGCATACCGGTAGGGCCCACAGAAGAGTAGAACGGACAAGCAATTATTTGGCTTATATTGTAAAAGTATTCTGAATGGTATAAAATGTAACTGATGCTGGTAGCAATCTCTACTCCCACCCACGGGACTACCGAGGCTTCGCTCCTAATTCCGTAAATTAGCACTAGACAGTTATTGTCACTTAACTAATTACTTAAAAAGTCGAGAAGACAAAGTACCTACTGTGACACTTTTTTCCCGTGTTTACCCAACGCATTATAGCATTCGTCTAAATGGATTTGATCACAAGAAACCTTTCTATTTTTATTTATTTTACTTAAAAGTGTCACTTTAAGATCTCACAAGCAATTAACGCCTTATAAAAATGTATATCAAGCAATACTCTATGTGTCATAGATGGGCATTTGCCTAATCTAAAAGGAAAATACCGAGTCATTACTTATTTTAGCTTCTCGAACGCACAACCTGTAGAGCGCGTAAAAATGAATTGTCAGAAATCGTTTGAAAATTACCGGCAATATTTAAGCTGTTTCAAAATTTGAAAAATATAACTGGCAGATGTAAAGCGGTGATTTAGGACAATTATTGCAAACATTAACGTATCAATTGCTTTTGCATGAAGTAGGACATTTTCACGGTGGCGATTCAAATGGATTTTCAGTTGCTCATTAAAATAACGCATATTTCCTCAGCTTTTCGATAGAGACAGTAAATTAAAAATCCAATTAAAAACTTTTTGGGAAATATCTCATTTAAAGATGATTCGCTGCGTCTGACTGGAGAATGTTTTTAAGTTACTGGTAACCATTAAATCCGATGTTGGACTGGAATATGCCAGACGTAGTGTTTCCCATATTTCCCTTTAGATTACTTTCCTGATGTTGGGTTGCCTCGGTTACTCCTAATTGGAATCTTTTCACCATTCGGTTGTTGTTATTTGAGATGCATACGCGTAACTCGCTGCTGTTTTCGATATACATAATGATATTCGGTAACTTATAATTATTATAACTTGCAATTGCACTGTTTGTTGGTGGAAATGGCGGAAAGCAGCTTTTCATGCATAAAGCATCTGATCGGGAAACATGTATTATATTAAGGGATCTGAACCAATGAACCCCCTGAAATTTCATGTACTTTGGTTTCCTAATGTGTTAATTCAGTGTTCACTGCAGTTTCCCTCTAGGCAAGAACATAACGCAAAAAAGCAAAAAAATACCCAATTGAGCGCAATTGAAATAAAGATGCAACAATCTGTTAAATATATACCAAATTGAAAAATGTGTTGCCCCTTTTTGAATCACATCGGCATTTGTGCAGAAGATGACTCTCGGCGTGAAGTCCATCAAGCAGCCATGTCCCGCTTGCTTTAGCACGGTAGGACATCGAAGTGGACTCACGCAAAATTTAACTCAAAAGTAATAGTCTATCGGTGTCATAACATACCGGTCTTCTATAGGGAGCTTTCATTTCTTAGTCTTATAAAATTGACAACCATAAATTATGATGTGGTAGCATCATTACTCACGTGAATCTGTCCGCTCTTGAGTTTAACGCTTTTCTATGTTCAATAATAAATCGATTCTTTCACGTAAAAACATACCTTTACTCCACGTCCCTATTCAGGATTGGAAAACGACGATTAAACAAACTTTTTGGGAATTCTAGAAAATCAGCGGTGCAACTAAACTATTGCGACTCAAAATATTATTTATAACAATCACTGTTTTTCGGTTTATTAGACTGCCTTCAACAGGAATTTGGTATTGATGTTTCACTAGCATGCACGCTTAGCATCTTCAGAGGCGATGTGATAACAATGCTTCAAGACACGGTGATTGTTTTCGAACGAAAGCCTTAACCATTATAAGTGAAAAGAGAATAATATTCTATAAACAACAACAGTATATTTTTTACGTTTAGCTGCTTTGTGGCACGAAAGAAAAGATATACATTATGGAGCCTTAAAATCTAATTTTCCGACTCCGTCGTAAACATCGGGTTGAGAAAACGCCAAAAGTTACGGGGGAAAATATGGCGGAAGTAAAAATTAAAACACGACTGCTTAGAGCCGACTCATTTTGCAAGCGATGCTAATTAAAACATGACAAAAGTAACTACCTTCCAAGTACCTCCAGAAATTAAACTTTTATTGTGTCAATAACCATGCTCTTAAAAGCAGAGCATCTTGAGGAGAAATCCATATTGAAGTAATAAGATATTAAAAATTTATTAATTAAAATTAAATTTATGAAAAATTATTTTGACTGACGATTACTTGACGACTGAGAAGGAGCTCCAACTTCCGTAGCCAAGAACAGAAAAAATAAATGCTGATTTGTAAATATATTTGAATCGAACAAATTGCACTATTTTACACCAATTGTTATCCGCCTCTGTAAAACTTACCTTACAAATTTTCGGCGGTTGATAGTTTCGCCTGTCGAAACTTCCCACACTGGAAACGGGTGGCAATTGTAAAATTTGAGCAGTGATTTCACTCGAAATATTTTTGGTTAACTCTGTATAAGGATTTGAAGATATTGGAGAACTATTGGAGCTGTGGCTGGTCATTTTGGAAAAAATGGCAGATTCTGGCTTGAAGAACCATGATGCCACCGATGCCCACTGAAAGCAAGAGAATATTTATTTAATAATTACATATTAACAGTTTAATAGTTTACATAAGTGGCGCTAGGTTTTAACCGAAAGCTGATCTATTTGGAGCGGCTTTATTTTACCTTGATGTTGAAAATGGCCTTAAATTTATCCTGGGTAGTATATTTTCCATTCAATTGCTTTAGAGCTTTGTCCGTATCGAAGGGTTTTAAGAACGTACAGAATTTTGTAGTTTGTGCTCAAGCGAAGAGAAGTAAAAACCTACTACAGCAAAACCAATTCAATTAGGTTGAAAGCAGCTATTTGTTTTTACGGTAGTTCAACGTCGATGAGCTTACATGCCGCAGCATCCTTTTTACATTATCAGGACTGGTATAAAATCTATTTTGCTCGGATAGTCTTTGTTAAGTATACACGGAAAGCTTTTATTACATTTACATATAGCTCTCGTATTAAGGCTTGGCTTAATTAAACTAAATGCTGACATTTACGCTGATTTTTTTGTTTTCGAAATAAAACTCGCAAACAATAACAATGCCGAGATGCAGATTTTTCGCCCCCTTCGACTGCTTAGATTAAACAATTCACGGTGCAGCAGCGTTTTACTGACAAAGTTCTTATCTTCAAAACTCTCTTTAAGTCTTTATCACCGATAGCACCTTTTTTCCAGATTGGCACACTTGCCGATATGGATAATTTGCAAAGTTTTACTTGTTGCTTGGAAATATAGCTTGTTTGGCTGTAGCAAAGTTTGAAGCACCAACTTCACCAATAAAAAAACGCTAGTTGCATTCGACTATTATACAAAGATTAGTAGGAGTTGTTAAGTCTAGATTAGCGAGACAAGGGCGTCTACATTTAGGTACAGTTTACGCATATATTGGCACTTCCAGCAGCCATAATTTTTCCTGAAATTTCCAAGCAATGAATAAATCTAAAACAGATAAAAATATCTGTATTCCAGAAATACTGGATGATTCACGTCGGCTCTTGAGACCAGACGAATAACAAGGTGATCAAAAAGCTAGTGAACTTGTCGAAGATGTTTAATATCACGCCGAATGAAAGTATATTTTTGTACCGGCTTAATGCATGCACTCGACACGTCAAATTGTTTTAGTGACATCTGTACGACCCGTGCTTTGATAGTGGGTGTGATGGTTTTAGTTTCGATTACGGCTTTATGTCATTTTTACGCCCCTATGTAATAAATATACACCTCGTGATAAGTTTTGTACATTTTCAGCCAGAACATCGGCTTTGAAGAAAAGTATCCAGAACGAATGATCGCATCTTCTTTCATTATCACTCAAAATTAAAAGGCCGCGAGTATTTTTAAAACACTTTAAGATTATGTCAAGCATCTGGATTGTTTAGGCTTCTGTATGCACGCGTGCTTTTTATTTTTAAATTTTGAGTGCAAGCGAAAATAATTAGTTACTCGAATTACACTGATCGGAAGCAGCTTATCAGGGCAATAAAACATGTTTATTTTCACTATGCGTAATTTATTTGTTACACTTATGTCATCACCAGGGGTGGATGAAAAACGACCAAAATTTTGCAGTAAAACGAGATCAGTGTTATTGGAACCCGCTAATGGGGTACACAAACTTGTCCAAGTCCATCCCTCGTTAAAATGTCAAGCTCACCCTTTTTTCCACCGGTTTCGTGCCCAATCAACCCTTTTTAGTCGCCATATGCCAGTTCTTTATAAGATCCAATTACCAACAATACCTTTATGTGATTTATCAGTTTGCTCGTTTTGTTCAATATGATACTTTGAATTTACCTAAAACATACAGTAAAAAAATCTGCGAAAAATCTGCAATTTGACATCGAATCCAAGCTCGTCCCATTTAATAAAACCTGGCCTATTTTTGTACTGAACTGTTTAATAATATCCATTTATTTTACTCCTTGTTACATGTCGTATTCAGTAATTAATATCCAAATTAGTATGGGCAAAACCTTACTACATAATACTGATCCAATCTCTTGCCGTCGTGGCAAAGATTTTAATTCTAACGTTTTGCAAGCATGAGTGGCTTACATCTTCACAGGTGGTTTGCTCGACGCAGCAACGACTCATTTTTTAATTCAAATTTCATCAATTTGTGTCGTATTATTAAATTTTCTAGAACCATAATCGATTAATTGCATTTGCATCGAAACTTAGAGCAATACTTTTTGAATGAAATGACTTTTCCAGTTTTTCTTGTTGCTTCTGTTTTCTTTTTTGCATAAAATAATTTTCAAAATGCATCTTAAGTAAGCTCTTCGTCAGTTGTGTCGTCGCTAATGAAATCATATTATGAATCTTTCCAACATTTCTGACATTTGAATAACATTTGATTCTGAAAAATTTTCCACCGACAAAACAAATCCGACGAAAACCTCCCGAGATTCAAGTAGTGGTAGTCGAAAATTTAACTTTTTCTATACCAATGGTTGTCCACTATTTAATTAAGCAAAATTGGGGTAATGCGTTTGTTTCTAGAGTCAACAGCATAACGTAATTTTTTTGAAGCAATTTGACAGGAAAAAATTGAAAAAACTCAATAAAACTTGACTTATTATGTAAGTGTTTTTTCAAAGTTAACTGTGCATGGCGTTTTAGTAATAGTTTTAAACATATTAAATTTTCATTCTCACGACGATAATTGACAAGTCGAACAATAGCTGGAATAACATAATGCCAAATATCGTCTATTATGAAATTATACAGCAAGGTGTTGATTCCTTTGAGACTTCTAATCAAAGGCGTGTTTAATAACAAGCTGACACCAAATGATACGATGACTTCACGTGTCAGCAAGTTGTACTTTTAAAGTAAGAATTTGACAAAAGAAAATAAATCTGGGGGCAATTAAAGAACAATGAAATTATTAAGAATGACTCTCAGAATTTAAGTCGCTATTCACGTGAAAAAGCTAAAATTGAAAAGAAATCGATTATATTATAGAGGCCAAAAACCAAATAGATTCCTTAAAAAGGAACTCAACAATAAAAGTGATATTTTCGCAGAGCATAAATATAATAGGGTTGTTATGTTGAGGACCTAATATGGGGGTTGGTACATAATTATTAATCCCCTCAACGCAAAAGGGTTAACGGAGCCCGTGGGGTGGGAAATGCGCCATATTTGATCAATAATTGAGTTAAACAACTGACGAACGGTGTACTTACTCATCCCTATATATTTTATATCAGCGGTCGTCAGCGTCACAGTCTTTATTCAATCTCTCCTCTCTCTCTGGGTTTCGTTTACACAGCGCTGATTTTTGCTAATTTATATGTACATATATTTTTAAATTTATGAAATATGCTAATAGAATTATGTAAAATTCAAATTTTTGGTTTGGTGGCTTTGTTTCAAGTGCTTTTAGTAAAATGCCACCTACATTTTTATTCATGTATCTTACTTTACTAAACACATTCTACCGCATGTGGCATCGTGAAATCTATTAATTTTTGCCAAGCGTTCTCTTCTACCTTGGATGATTCGTACTCCAGGATCTATACATATAACAAGCACGCGCTGTTTCTCAACTTACTAATAATTCTGTTGAAGGATGAAGCTGAAAAAGCATTTTCAAACTAATTATGTCTAGGGACCAGGATCAACTTTAGCCTTGCGAAAATATTAAATTTCTTTCAACTAACTGTTAATTCATGGTGTAATATTGAACTATACAAGTAAATGTGCACTGACATAAACATCTGAAAGGTGTTATTAGGGACGCCACATGCATTTGGGCACTTAAGTGATAATTCATGAATTACCAAAAAGTAGGTGGAGCTTAATGACACGAAATTGTCGTTTTATTATGAGGTTTTTATCGTTTTGGTGAATCAAAGTGCGCATCGTATTTTGCCACGCCCCCATTATAGACATCTTCTGTGTTCCGGCTAATGTGCCCTTATTGATAATGATCGGGTCCATTAAAGGTACCAGTGCTTACTTTATTAGTGAAGGCTCGTCGGCGGCTCATGAATTATTGTCGTGCCGCTAATTGATGACTAAAATAAATCTATCACGCCCGCTTTGATGACAACAATCCCCTTTTCTCCAAGTTTCTATTCAGCTAAGCCCCCGTTCGCTTTCTCCGCTGTCTTATCAAACGAGCTTTGACAAATTAGACGTTATTTAGCTGAAAATTTTAATAAGCATTTAAATTAAAAATTATTTTCCTTGGCGTTCAAGTTTCACACGAAACAACAGATTTGATTCATTCTGATGGTGCAAGGCACATCACATAGTTGACCATTTTATCGGAAATAAATCTGCAGATTTTGCAAAATAATTTCAAATTATTTGATAAGAATCATTTCAAGTTTTCATAGTTTTTCGTACAATCCAAAGACAATTTATTGTTCCTTTTTACAGCATTTAATATTAATTGACTCCATTTGAACATAATTTTCCATCGAGTTTTCATCGTAGATAAATATGCAGATTTTGCAAAATAATTTCAAATTATTTGATGAGAGTCATTTCAAGTTTCCTTAGTTTTTCGCACATTTCAAAAACAATTTTTTGATCATTTTGCAACATTTAATATTTATTGACTTCATTTGAACATTCTTTTCCATTCAGATAAGGAAAAGTTTCAAGGGATCTAATTCGATGTTTAGAGCACATCAACTATAATAAATCAGTTCTCATCGCGCCTACACAATTTTGAAACCTTATTGTACGCTACTTATAGGTAGCACTTGTATTCGTTACAACAATGGATGTTTTGAGCACACCAGAAAAGAATGTGTTTATTCAAATCGAACACTCCCTGTATGCTAAACACTTTTTACCTGGACCGTAAAATGCAAATTAAGCATCTTGTTCGCACAAAATTCGTATTTAGATAGGTCTTGCCTTATTTAGACCAGAGGCAAATGATTATTTGCTGCTATAAACGAGAATTCCTATACAGGGCGTTTGGAAACTGTTTAGTGACAGTGAACGGGATGGTAGAAGGGCACATTTTATGTGCATTTGCCTTTAATTC